TAATATTATTTATAAACCAGAAGTTGTAGTTAGAAGTTGACAGTGAAGACTCCAAAATTTGATAGATAGGTTCATTTAATCTTTACTTGCCAGATCAGAGGTTGTGTTTTTGTAAGATATGTAAATTTCTTTATACGCCACATTATTTGTAAGGTGGGAATTAGTGGGCATATGGATTAACAATGGGATTCTAACACTTCTATGTTTATAAAATAGAACTATTTCATTGTTTTACCCAGCTTCTGAAGCTGTAAGCTGGTTGTTTGTACCATCATTCCACACACAACAGTTGAATATTCTTACTCTGGCTACTGTACTCTCAGAAACATTGTGTACCAATCTTGAATTTATAAGTGTTTACTACACTTTACCAAAAGTATGTATTTTGTTCCAAAACAGGTTTGAATTACCCTTGTTTCATCTGGAAAAAGTTACTAATGCACATTGGTGTTTATGTAATCTAGGTCCAAAGTATTATTATCAGTTGTAACCACTTCTCCCCTTCTTTTATTTCATTTTAAATAATCTGATACATTATAGAGGTGTGTTTATTTTCTAACATTTATACATTCCTCTTGGAAACTATTTATTTCTTAATGATTATAATTTTCCTTGACATAGTTAACAGTTGATAATGTTACAGATGTTCGTGGAGATTTAACAACAAAGATGTCATACCTGCTAATGAGGTTCAAGCCATCAGCCACACTCTTCAAGCTATTATGTTTCTCAAGTTTACCCAAAACGAGTTGAATGGTGCTATTGAGATTGGTGGGTTGGTTTGAGGATTTGTTATTTGTATTGGGCTATCTATGCTGTGCTCACAATAACCCCATTTTTTTAACATTATAAACCCTCAAACTCACCACTGAGCTGCCAGGAAGAATCTTTTATTTGTAGTTATTAAGTAACTATTTACATTTTTTATTGTATTATGTAGTAGTCTGTTATATGTGATGTATAAATTCCAACTTACGAGAAATTTAGTCTTCAAAACTGAATTCAGATGTAGAAATATGTTTCTGTTTTTATCAGGTTTACCAAAAATAAAGTAAAAATTGCTATAAATGTTGGTGTTTAACATTTTTACTGTTTTCATGTGGTGTTTCGAAGTAAATGCAAGAGAAAATTTAAAATATTATATGCACTTATTATTATTATTCAATAACCTCCTGATTCACCAGTGCTACTTTGAATAAGCTGGCAAGCTTTAGTACAAGAAGTTTTTGATTAAATTTCCAGTTTATTATTATATCCAAACAAGTCACTTATAGAAACAAATTAATAAATATTTTACAGGAAAACTCTTTGAAATTCCATTGATAATAACATCTATTGTTGTATGAGATTTTTCTATTGTAAACATTAATACAAGATGTATTAATTGTTTTAATACTGAGTATCTTATAAATGTCATAGAGTGTTACTGAGAAGATACAATATATGTTTACAATAGGTTTCTGTATTAAAGAATACACTAGTTAGAGCCTTCTTTCTAGACATTGATGTAAGATTTTAATTTGCTTTAGTTTAATTTTTTACTGTTGTCTTGATGCAACATATATGATAAGTATGATGTAAAATTTGTAAATATTTCATCATTTCACTGTGGTAACATGAATTTTGATTTTTTCAGGTTTTCAGGTACTTAAAATTCTACAGAAAATTCATGATTTAAATAGGATAATTAAAGTTTTGCCCATCTTATCACAAGCAGTGATGTTTAGTATTAAGTAAGTACAATTTTCTTTTCATGTTATTTGGTGAATAAACTGTAGCAAACCTTCATGAAACTTTCTTAAGGGAAAAAAGGGTTAGTGAATATTTCCTATGCTGACAAAAGGAGAGAGCCCGACAAGATTAAAAAATCTTAAGATACGATGGTCATAGATCTTTCTTCTTTAAGTGGAGTCTTTAATAATGGATTAAATAGAAACATGGTCTATATTTCCAGTTTGTTTGTTCAGTGTTTTAACACTGAAACATTGTGGTAATCTCAAGCTTAAACATAGCTAAGAGCTACCCATCTACTAGAGATTCAAGGATCAAGCATGTAGAAGGATGAGTGTAATTATTTGTCACAGGGAGGCTAAAAAAAAAAAAAACACAGTTTTCAAAGAGAATAAAAATAAAACACTTTAAATTTAAGGGGTTTGAAGATAATTGAAGTGATGGAAGTATTGCATGAATCAAACTGTGTGAAGAGAGCAATTATTGCAGGAATAACAACAGCAACAAAGATTATAACACAAACTAGTCCAGGTTTAAAACTAACTCAAAAAAGATCTATTTACCAAAAGTGCATGCCCAAAGTGGCATATTTTTACAGCTTCTCTTCATGCATTGGTCAGTGAGAAAACTGGTACAGGAATGCAGAAGTAAGTCTTAAATTTGGCAGTCACAAGGTAACTTAGGTTTCAATACAGTCATCCCATGAAACAGTGAAATGGCTAAAGAAAGTACAACACTTCAGTAAATGATCTTAACATGATTTAACAAGGTACAAATAGAAGTTAGAAATTTGTAAAGATGAAGTAGACGCTATAGAAGATAATGGTATGCAAGGTTTGAATACAACATCATGGACAAAAATGAGTTTGAATCTCACAACGAGCATATGAAGAAGCTACAAGCTGAAATATTGAGTGCATGAATAGCACAAAATAATTTTCTTTATAAATCAGTTAGTTGTTTATTTCTTTATTTTTTTAACCAAGGTGTAGAACTGGATTTGAAATTACATATGGTTATAGTCTTGTCCATACACACCTAGTTGTTTTCAGTTGTAAAGGCTTCGTAACTTCACAAACAAATTCTAATTATTTGTGTACAACAGCCTTCGAATGGTTACTAAAATCTTTCAAAATTTTGTGAAGATACACTTAGTATATTCAGAGTTATTGTATATGTATATGTATATAGTTTCATGGTTACCTGGTCGTTAAAGGTCAGTAATATGACCAAATCCACATACAGAAATTTTAACATTGATATATAGGAAGAATGAACTAAAGATAAACATTGTAACACATACATATCATCTTCTAAAGATTCTTATATTGTACATTAATAAATAAATAAAAATTGTTATTTATTTTTGTAATGGAGATAGAAAACTATGAAAAACTGACATTATCTTGAAAATGTGAACACTATATTTAGCAACTAAGCAAGTATACCCACAATGTAACAGTATATCTAGTTTAAGTAGCTAAAAAGTCATCTTATTCATTTAGGGGCTCACCTATTTATAAAACAACACTATCTATCTATCCTATATCACATTTCATAAAGATGAAATGTTAATATGATGGTGAAACTTACAGGATTGCTTGCAATAAATTAAAAACTTTTCGTTGTTCTAACCAAAAACTGTGGCTTGAGACATACCTAGAATAGTGAACAAGTGATCGTTAGGATTAATAACAATAGTGTATCAGAGTAGTGAACAAGTGATCGTTAGGACTAACAACAATAGCGTATCAGAGTAGTGAACAAGTGATCGTTAGGATTAATAACAATAGTGTATCAGAGTAGTGAACAAGTGATCGTTAGGATTAATAACAATAGTGTATCAGAGTAGTGAACAAGTGATCGTTAGGATTAACAACAATAGCGTATCAGAGTAGTGAACAAGTGATCGTTAGGATTAATAACAATAGTGTATCAGAGTAGTGAACAAGTGATCTTTAGGATTAACAACAATAGTGTATCAGAGTAGTGAACAAGTGATCGTTCGGATTAATAACAATAGTGTATCAGAGTAGTGAACAAGTGATCGTTAGGATTAATAACAATAGTGTATCAGAGTAGTGAACAAGTGATCTTTAGGACTAACAACAATAGTGTATCAGAGTAGTGAACAAGTGATCGTTAGGATTAACAACAATAGTGTATCAGAGTAGTGAACAAGTGATCTTTAGGATTAACAACAATAGCATATCAGAGTAGTGAACAAGTGATCGTTAGGATTAACAACAATAGTGTATCAGAGTAGTGAACAAGTGATCATTAGGATTAACAACAATAGCGTATCAGAGTAGTGAACAAGTGATCTTTAGGATTAACAACAATAGTGTATCAGAGTAGTGAACAAGTGACCTTTAGGATTAACAACAGTAGCATATCAGAGTAGCGAACAAGTGGTCTTTAGAATTAACAACAGTAGCGTATCAGAGTAGTGAACAAGTGATCGTTAGGATTAACAACAATAGTGTATCAGAGTAGCGAACAAGTGATCATTAGGATTAATAACAATAGTGTATCAGAGTAGTGAACAAGTGATCTTTAGTTTGCTTGTGGCAGTTGGAAACTGTCTGATTTTTATTTTTCTATAACATGAAAAGAATATATCTTTATTAATAAATATTTTTCAATATATATATATCTGTATTCATGTTCTCTCAAAGTAATCGATGTCTTTCTTAACAGAATGTAGCTTGCTTTAATTTTCATCTCAGGCTAGTTAACAGTAGTCATTCCAGAGAGCTTAAACACACTTGATCGTACTTCTGTATTATCTCTCCTCATGTGTGTGGGTCATACCCTTGTGAAGGGGTGGTGAAGAGGTTTGTAAGAGCTAGTATCTGCTGGGAGATAATGTCTCTTTAGTTATCTATAATGAAAGCTATCAGAACAGTTGTGGGATACTGCACTAGGATAACAGTTGTGGGATACTGCACTAGGATTTTGTTCAGACTTGAAAGTGAAATGAAGATGTAAGCAGTATTCCACATCTTAAACAGTTGATAGATTGAGACTAGATGATTGCATTAATTCTGAGCTTGTTAAGAAAAAAATGGGGAAGTTTAAAGAACGATAAGGCTTTTGGGCCAGATAAGATTACCTCAAGGGTTTGAAGGAGGTTAAGGATTGGGTATGTGAGCCTCTTGGTACTATTTTTTGTTCATGAATAGTGGGCAGGTACCAGAGGATTTGAAATTTGCTAATGTTGCTTCTCTTCCAAGGGAGATGATAATTATAGGCCCATTAGGCTTACATCAGTTGTGGGAAAATTTTGGAAAGTCTGATAAAAGATGCCTTGTAAAGCCATTTAACAAAGTTTAGAATTTTATTTGATAGTCAACATGGTTTCACTAGGGGATATCTTGCCATACAAATCTTTTGACATTCTTTGGAAAGGTTACTGCTTATGTAGATGAGGGTAAGAGTGTAGATTTGGTGTATCTGGATTTTCAGAAAGCATTTGACAAGGTGCCACATAAAAGGCATGTAAAAACATTATCTGTATAGGTGTGGGGGATAACTTAGCAAATTGGATAGAAGAGTGGCTGGATGGAAGAAAGCAGAGGGTTGTTACAAATGGAGCTCAGTCAAACTGGATTAATGTCACAAGTGGGGTGCCTCAGGGCTCAGTCTTAGGACTTTTTTCTTTCTGACTTCCATCAATGACATAGCCGAAGGAATGTTCAATAACTTACTTAAACTTGCAGATGATATTAAGGTCTTGGGTGTTGCTAGCTGTGAAGAAGATGCTGGTGATTTACAAATAGATTTAAATCTTTTAGTTGGGAAAGTAAACGACAAATGGGTTTTAATTATAATAAATGCAAGATAGTTTATGTGGGTTTTCATAATTTGAATTGTGAATATAAATTGGGTGGGAATAACCTTAACAGTGTCATGAAAGTAAGGGGTCTTGGTGTAATGGTTGATCAGTCTCTTGCTAGTGGTAAGGCAAATATGATTTTTAGGTTGTATCTACAAAATATTGAATAAATATCTAAAGAGGTTATAATTTCATTGTATAAGTCACTGGTTATCTTAAATTTGGAGTATTGTGTTCAGTTTTGGGTTCCTTACCTTAGGAAGGGCAATGAACTGTTGGAAAGGTTTCTAGAATGGTGTCTGGGATGGAGGGGGTTGTCATACAAGGAGAGGTTGAAATCTCTTAAATTGTTTTCTCTTGAAAAAGGAAGAGTTAAGGGGATCTGATTGAGGTGTTTAAGATTGTAAAGGGAATTGATAGTGTTGATGCATCTTTAACAGCAAGAATTGTAGGACTAGGGGACATAAATATAAATTTTTGCAAGGTAGGAGTCATCTTCCCGGCCAAGACAGTTTTTTCCTAACAGGATGGTTGGCCTTTGGAATGGGTTGTCTTTGGATGTTGTGGAGGTAGTAAATTTAAGTGAGTTTAAGAGAAAGCTTGATAAATATATGAATTATAAAGGCTTGCTTTAAAATTTGTTTTAAATTTATTTATTTAAAAAAGTTTTAGTCTAGTTTACAGGATGGGATAGCTGAAATGGATCCTTTTTTGTCCCAATTGTTTTGTGACATAGTTCTATAGTATTTTGTCTATTGAAGTGATGGTTTTATATTGCCAGAACAGTTTGGAAACAAAGAAACCAACCAGTTGTATTATAAGAATCTAGCAAAAAGATTTGTTCTTTGGTTCACTCATATGTTTAAGCTTTTTTGTTGTTATTGTTGTTCTTTCTTTCAGTTTCAAATGAATTAACACATTATTGTAAACAGAATTGGTGGTAAACTACATGTATAAGAGGTGACTGGTCAGTGATACATTAAATAGTTTTTTAAAAATGGAGAATTTATTAATGCTCTATATTTTACATATTTCCATGAAAGTCCTTAAATGTATTTCGTGTTATCTAGTCCAATAAGAGCTGTCAATTGAACATTAATTAGAGTTTTCTTGTTATCTAGGCCAATCAGATTCATTGAATCAACATGAATTGGGTTTTCTTGTTATGTAGTCCAATCAGATTTGTTGAATCAACATTAATTACGGTTTTCTTGTTATCTAGGCCAATCAGATTCATTGAATCAAAATTAATTGGGTTTTCTTGTTATCTAGTCCAATCAGATCAGTTGAATCAACATTAATTAGGGGATTGGACTAGATAACAAGAAAAAAATCTGTTGAATCAACATTAATTGGGTTTTTCTTGTTATCTAGTCCAATCTGATCAGTTGAATCAACATTAATTAGGGTTTTCTTGTTATCTAGTCCAATCAGATCTGTTGAATCAACATTAATTAGGGTTTTCTTGTTATCTAGTCCAATCAGATCTGTTGAATCAACATTAATTAGGGTTTTCTTGTTATCTAGTCCAATCAGATCTGTGGAATCACTAGTTCAGCTGAAAGAGTGTTCAGTAGAAATTGAGAACAATACAGGACTTGCCTTATATTATGGTGGTTTGGCCGAAGTCATCGTTAAAGAAAGTAAGAATACATTTAACAGGAAGATATGTTTAATTTAAAGAAGTGTTCTAATTGGTTGACAAAGTAGATGGACAAGAGTAATTGTTTATTTAGTGGAGTGTCTTGTAAAGTTTAATTAAGACTGTTCTGATTAGTTGTATCAAGTAAAGTGAACAGAAGGAATTATGGGATGGTTAATGATGAGTAATTAGGAATAATCTGATTACTTCTATCAGTTAAAGTTAAGTGTACTAGTTGTTAAGTATGTTAATAGCCAGTTATTATTTGAGTGTTTGTCATGAACCAAAAAGATTTGTAGGCTTAGGTCAATGGCCTTTAGAATGTATAATTGGTGTAATGAAAAATTAATCATTAATAGATTCACCATAAATTTTGGGTACAGTTAATTCATATTGCAGAGTCAATGGTGAGTTTATAATATATGTAGAATAATTACACTGTACATTCCCGAGATATAAATCCATGATTTTAGTTGAAAGGTTGCATTAAAATAATACAAGAAAATTCACTTATATGATTTTTAGGCTTATGAATGAAAGAAGAATATTTTGTATTATGTGTTTAAGTGAAGTGTTAGTGATTAAACAATGGTATAACTACTGAATTAATGAGATTTCAGTCAGACTAGGGATTAAAGATTTCCAGTATGTGTGTGATGTTTGTTGTGCGTTACTTTTGGTTTTGATTTTGCTAAGTTTATTGAGATGTTACAATAAGGTGTTCAGTTTTATTGAATGAAGGTTAAAAAGTTCTGGTAACATTTCAGGAGTCTTGCTGAATTACTACTATGGAGTTTTAGATGATCTTATTTTTATCATTACCAGAAAGCTAACATAAATTTGGCATTTTCAATCACAGTTTATGTAATACGTGGGCTAAACGACAAGGGCAGAAAGTCCAAGAGAAAGAACAACCAGTCAACAGCACCCACCACCGATATGGTCATTAAGTTAGAACTGTTGACAAGAGGGAGGGCAACTAGTCAGCAGCACCCACCACCACCACCGATATGGTCCTTAAGTTAGAACTGTTGACAAGAGGGAGGGCAACCAGTCAGCAGCACCCACCACCACCTATATGACCACATTTTACTGAATAGTGAGATTTATTACCATGATTACAATTCTCCCACAGCTGAAAGTGTATACTATGTTCAATAGCATATTGTAAGCTCAAATCTTGGACCTTCTGATTCTTAACCTAACATGCTAACCACAAAGCCACACCTTGCAATATGTGTATGATTTATTGTGCTCCTAAAGTGTTCTTTACACTTTAGAATGGTTTTTAGTATAAACTAGAATATTAATACATAAGATATATCAATTTTTTTTATTGTAAGTGAAGGCTTAGATAATGTAATTATGTCAAGAAGGTTTACATGGACAAGAAAACGTCTTTACATTGGTGATTCATATGTTTTACACCTGTACTTTTTCTTCCAGTTTCTGTCTCATAATGTGGAGTGTCTCAGGTACTAGTACAGAAGGTCAGGCATCCACTGGACATAGTGCCTTGTTTGTGTGACCAGTTCCATAAGGACATGTTCAGGCAAAGGCTGAAGGAGCACAAAGATGTCCTGAAACTCTTACTTATGGAAACGTGCCACAAAACTTGGCAAAATTTACAATTTCATGTTTTAGACACATCCAAAACCAAATCATAATTCAAAAGTAACCCTCAACAGAGATATATATATAAAATTTACGGACAACAAGGGATCCCTTGTTTCATCTAGGCCTTCTGTCTACTAAACTAAAATCATACTTATTCTACCACTAGCAACAGCTTGGATGACTTAAGACACCGATTAACCACTCTATATATATACCAAGATTTTTTGTTTCCATGACATTGTTAAAGTTATTTACATCCAAATTTTACTTATAATTCAAATCATTTTAACCCACATGCATTAACTTGTACTTATTGCAGTTAAAATCCTTCTGCCATTTATTTGCCCAAATCATCTAAACCCTTTTGTAAAAGAAGCATACTCTTCTTCATAACCATCACACCCAAGAACTTAATTTCATAAACAAGTTTAAGTAACTGATTCACCATTCCTTCATCTATGACATTAATTTAAGCCGGAGGTTCTCTACTTGTGACGTTAATCCAGTGTGATTGAACTCTAATTCTAACAGCCGTCTACTTTCTTCCATCCAGACACTTTTCTATCCAATGAGCCAAAATATCTTCCACATCTATAGAGGCTATTTTTATGTGTCACCTTGTAAATTGCTTTCTGAAAATCTAGATAAACCAAATCTATGTCCATGAATGTCAAGATATTAGGATGGCAAGATTTCCCCCTTGTGTTGTCATTCAATAAAATTCTAAACAGAATTACAACCCAGGACCATGCTACAGAGCCAATAATTTACATCTCCTCCACTACACTCTGACATGAATATTTATACGCTTCTACTTGAGGTAGATTTATTTTTATTTGTCCTTACCAGCATTCAAAGTTTCTGGAGAATATCTTCACGAATGTAGAGGTTTTGCACAGGAACCTTACAAAGAAGCTCATTACACCCATCACCCAGATGTAGAATTTTACCTTACTTCATGTCTGGCCTTATGGTGAGTTCATCTTTCACACTATTGTTAGTGTAACATTTTGTCAATAAGGTTTTCTTTCTTCGAACTATGCAAGTGAATGCTTATACATATAATACATTTATTAATAAGACTTTCTTTATTGAAACTAATCAGATCAATACTTGCTATGTACATAAGACATAAGTTCATAAGATTTGTTGAATCTGAGCAGATCAATAATGATATGTATAAGACATTTATTGATAAGTTTTTCAGTTGAAACCTTACCAATGGGTATAAACTATTACATCTATACACATGATTTAATTATCTGTCTCCACATTCCTTACTACTAGGTATAAACTATTACATCTAGACACATGATTTAGTTATCTGTCTCCACATTCCTCACTACTAGGTATAAACTATTACATCTATACACATGATTTAAAATGTGGAGACAGATAACTAAATCATGTGTACTAGATGTAATAGTTTATACCTAGTAGTAAGGAATGTGGAGACAGATAATAGATGTAATAGTTTATACCTAGTAGTGAGGAGTAAGGAATGTGGAGACAGATAACTAAATCATGTGTTCTAGATGTAATAGTTTATACCTATTAGTAAGGAATGTGGAGACAGATAACTAAATCATGTGTGTCACTAGGTATAAACTATTACATCTAGACACATGATTTAATTATCTGTCTCCACATTCCTTACTACTAGGTATAAACTATTACATCTAGACACATGATTTAGTTATCGGTCTCCACATTCCTTACTACTAGGTATAAACTATTACATCTATACACCAGTGAAACTTCTTATTTTCAGGTGTGTTTCATTTGGGATGGACTTGAAGACTGAGATTCGGTTAAAGTGGTACAAAAAAGCTAAGAAGAAGAAGAAAGATGTTCCATTGAAGCTGAGAAAGAGTTTCTGGTCTATTAGTGCATCCTTCAATATGTTAGAGGTTCGCGTTCACCACATGAATTCAGACTATCGAAATGATATCTCCAAACTCCGATTAGAGAAAAACAACATACTTAAGGTAACAGACTAAAACTACCTTTATACAGATGATCACACTACCTTTAATAATTATGGCTAGTTGACTTACAGTACCACTAGTAGCCAGATGATTCACACTACCTGTACCTGATGTGACTGGTTGACTCGTAGTTCCTGTGTACTTCTTCTACCTGGATGATTCACACTACCTGTACGTAATGTGACTGGTTGACTCGTAGTTCCTGGGTACCTGGATGATTCACACTACATGTACATAATGTGACTGGTTGACTCGTAGTTCCTGGGTGCTTGGATGATTCACACTACATGTACATAATGTGAATAGTTGACTCGTAGTTCCTGGGTACCTGGATGATTCACACTAAATGTACGTAATGTAACTGGTTGACTCGTAGTTCCTGGGTACCTGGATGATTCACACTACATGTACGTAATGTGACTGGTTGACTCGTAGTTCCTGGGTACCTGGATGATTCACACTAGCTGTACGTAATATGTGACTGGTTGACTCATAGTACCTGTGTACCTGGATGATTCACACTACCTGTACGTAATGTGAGTGGTTGACTCGTAGTTCCTGGGTACCTGGATGATTCACACTACATTTACATAATGTGACTGGTTGACTCATAGTTCCTGGGTACCTGGATGATTTACACTACCTGTACGTAATGTGACTGGTTGACTCGTAGTTCCTGGGTACCTGGATGATTCACACTACATTTACATAATGTGACTGGTTGACTCGTAGTTCCTGGGTACCTGGATGATTCATAGTTACAACCCAATATGGCTGATAGAATCATAGTTTCTGTATCTGCATATTTGTAGTTGGTTGATTCATTATTGATCGTTAATAGATTATAATAGGTTATGTTTGTAGCTAGTGAAAGATTATAACATCATGTTTTGTAGTTGGTGGTTTTACTAAAACTTCATATCATACATTTTGTTTTGTTTATGTGTTGTTTTAAACATAACAATATAAATCACTATGAACATGTTTCATATGTTTAATACTGTTATCAACTTATATGGTGATATGATATTTAAGAAATTGTGACATTTCAGCATATGGTAGTGAGTCATCTTCAGACAGTGTCATTAACAGCATATGGTAGTGAGCCATCTTCAGGCAATGGGTCATTAACAGCATATGGTAGTGAGTCATCTTCAGGTAATGTGTCATTAACAGCATATGGTAGTGAGCCATCTTCAGGCAATGTGTCATTAACAGCATATGGTAGGGAGTCATCTTGAGGCAGTATGTCATTAACAGCATATGGTAGTGAGTCATCTTCAGGCAATGTGTCATTAACAGCATATGGTAGTGAATCATTTTCAGACAATGTGTCATTAACAGTATATGGTAGTGAGCCACCTTCAGGCAATGTGTCATTAACAGCATATGGTAGTGAGTCACCTTCAGGCAATGTGTCATTAACAGCATATGGTAGTGAGCCACCTTCAGGCAATGTGTCATTAACAGCATATGGTAGTGAGCCATCTTCAGGCAATGTGTCATTAACAGCATATGGTAGTGAGTCACCTTCAGGCAATGTGTCATTAACAGCATATGGTTGTGAGCCACTTTCAGGCAATGTATCATTAACAGCATATGTTAGTGAGCCACCTTCAGGCAATGTAACAAAAATTATAAATTCTAAGTTTAATGGTTATTGTAAGCAATGCACATGTTATAAGTATTTAACAATTTTTTACATAACATATATGAAAATAAAAATGTAGAATTTTCATTGATTAGAATTAATAGATGACAGAGGTTTTTTCTTTCTAAAAACATGTACTGAACTGTAACAACAGTTCACAAACAATCAACACTTAAGGTTTATCTAAGATCATGTAAAGCATGTACTGAACTGTAACAACAGTTCACAAACAATCAACACTTAAAGTTTTTCTAAGATCATGTAAAGCATGTACTGAACTGTAACAACAGTTCACCACACAATCAACACTTAAGGTTTTTCTAAGATCATGTAAAGCATGTACTGAACTGTAAGAACAGTTCAACAAACAATCAACACTTAAGGTTTTTCTAAGATCATGTAAAGCATGTACTGAACTGTAAGAACAGTTCACCAAACAATCAACACTTAAAGTTTTTCTAAGATCATGTAAAGCATGTACTGAACTGTAAGAACAGTTCAACAAACAATCAACACTTAAAGTTTTTCTACGATCATGTAAAGCATGTACTGAACTGTAAGAACAGTTCAACAAACAATCAACACTTAAGGTTTTTCTAAGATCATGTAAAGCATGTACTGAACTGTAAGAACAGTTCACCAAACAATCAACACTTAAGGTTTTTCTTCAGTTGTCAGTATTATGTTTAGAACTAAATGAGTATTGATGTGTAAGAGACAGTTGGTCATAATGTTTGGTTCAGTTGTCAGTATTATGTTTAGAACTAAATGAGTATTGATGTGTAAGATACAGTTGGTCATAATGTTTAGTTCAGTTGTCAGTATTATGTTTAGAACTAAATGAGTATTGATGTGTAAGATACAGTTGGTCATAATGTTTGCTTCAGTTGTCAGTATTATGTTTAGAACTAAATGAGTATT